TGTGTGTGTGTGTGTGTGTGTGTGTGTGTGTGTGTGTGTGTGTGTGTGTGTGTGTGTGCGCGCGTGTATGTGTTTGCGTGCTTATACAGAAGAAGAAGAGGCTGTTTGAACTGTGAGAGGGGCAACAGGAAAGGGCGAGCGCAGGAGGGGAACAATGGACAAGTGGAAGGGGAGGTACTTACATAAGCATTTGCTTCATTGCCTTCCGACAACAGAAAAGATTTCCCTCTTCTTATTCTTCCCATGGTCTCATGCACATGAACAGGCAGTCGGATTGTCTTTGCATGGTCTGCTATTGCACGTGTCACCGCCTGCATTAGTTTCGTGTACAGAAAAAGGAAAGAGCACAGTGCATACAAACAGACGTACAAAATGTTACACTCTCCGGTGCCCCTTGGTCACCAAAGGTGACAAAATATGATACCACCTTCTTATCAGTACACCATAAGCATCCCTTAGTTGGGGGCTCAAGAGTCAAGATGAAGTGCCTCCGGTGACATCAATAACGAGGAGGAATGGCTGAGAAGGTACGGCTACCGACTTCTCCCATTCTCCTTTCTTCCTGACATCTCGTCCAAGTTCTTCATCTCCTTCCTCGTTTTCCTTTTTTCTTCAATAAAAAAATAAAATTCACCCAACTTCTTCATCTCCTTGTTTTTTGTTCTTCCATCCAAGTAGAAGAACCCACCATTCCGTCAGCTCCCACTTGCTGTGCCCCAGAAGCCCCCTTTTTTTTTTTTTTTTTTTTTTTTTTTTTTTGGCCTTTTTTTTTTTTTTTTTTTTTTTTTTAACCCCCCGCCGGTGATAGGGGCGCTGATAAGAGCAGACACCACTACCACTCGGGGAGAGGCTCCATCTATTGGTGGGGAGAAACACATGCTGGAAAACGGGTACAGCGTCCCTTACATGGACAGAATTCGGATTTCATCAGAAAAGAAATTGTAGGCATATCCCTGCCAGCATTGACTACCCTGGGTTCCAGGGGGTTGACTGAGCAGGATGTGGGGAGGGGGGGAACCTCTTCACCCTGAGCCAGGCGCCAGATATCTGCTCCCTGGTTCCTCCCCCCCCCCTTGCAGACCCACTCATTCCTATTACATATCTGCCCGGCCTTGTTTCTGCCAGCTGTTGCCAACTTGTACTGTGCCATCGCTCCCTCAATCCGCACCGTACCATTGCATGTCTACCAACGCCAGGTTGTGAGGCGGGAAGGGGTCGGGGAAGTCTGATGCCGGTCGTAATGGAATTGCCTGGCCAACTGTAGTCCAATCCTTGAAGCAGATCTGGTAATCCCTCTTGAAATCCCCCAGGTTGCACGCCTGGGTGGGCTTTCCATCCCAAATCACGCTTGCCATCCATCCCCCTTCCTCACTGCCCAGCCAGTCCCCGGAGAATTGGTGTATTCCACGAGTTATGTCCTGTGGCGTTTGGAACAGATCGAGTTGATTTTTAACTTTTTGCCACTGTACTGTGAGTTATTGTTGGACGTATTGCTTTATCATATCTGTAACTTCTTCCCCCTCTATGCGGACTTCCTCCATGGTGTAGATGCAGCGCTTTCTCCAGAGGGCCCGTACAACTGCCCTTCTCCCTGTCTTGAACATATTGTTCTCAAAAGTGTTGTTGGTGGGGGAGGTCCAAGGTTCACATAGTATGGCTCTCCAGTCCCATGGCCAGTTTGAGTCCGTGTCCAGCGAGGTCCAGATTCTGTCCCACCGTCGCCAGGCGAGAACCGCCCCTGGGCACTGCATGAAAATGTGTTCTATAGTTTCGGGGATTTTTCGGGAGGGGAAAGCAGTGTGGCACGATTTGCACCACGGCAGTGCCTGTCCCTTCTGTTCCAGCTGCGTGCGATCTATCAGCCAGTTATTCGTGGGCAGGCAACGGTGCTCGGTCTGCCATTGCAGCGAGGCCATTTTTGCTGGCCTAGATCTTGTGGCGGTGAACCATCTGATGGGGCGGATTGCATCTGTTCCTACATTTAGGTGTGACCTCCACCGCGCTTTCAYGATTTCTTTTATGTTCACCTTCRRTCGCAGCAARCGGTATGTGGCCTTCACTGTTAAGGAGGACARCTTCCGATTCTCCCTTGTTCTAGAATTACGCGGAGGGGCCCACTGCCATTCCAGAGGGTCGAATGGAAGTTCTGTCACAGGGGTCTGTGGCTGGAACGCAATCCACTTGTCTTTTTCTAGGAATACCCGGATCCTGAGCAGGTSCATGTTTCGCTGCCATCTCGTTACATCCGGGCTGTAAYGGACGAGGATGTTGTCCCTGTCTACGTGGAAGAGGTTAATCAATGTTTTGTCAGAACGCACCTCCACCACACTGCCCACACTTTCCGGATCCCYTGGGACCACCACCCAATCCCCCTGCCTTAGCTGCGGCCCTCTACATAGGATCCGCACCCAGTCCAGCGGGACCGCAAAAATCAGCAGCTCTAAATTTTCCTCTACCTTATGACAATGCTTTAGCGTATGTTTTAGCTGCAGTGCTGTTTTCCAATCCCTCTTTTGGGTGTCCCATATGTCTTTTATTCTAATTATGCCTTTTTTGACCCAGCTATTCCACGGGGTGTCTGAACTACGGTACACCCTACTGTGTCTGTCGGTCACCCACCTGTTCCCGAAAAGAGGGTGGCGCATCACCTCCTCCCACCTTGTCGGCAGAGGTCTGTTAGGTAATGGGAGGCTACGCCAAGCCTTTAGGACTCGCACCCAAAAGTCATCTTTGATCAGGTCCGAGCGGGCCACGTCCCGTGGCGGCGCATGGTCTGTCCGGTGGCCTGTTCGAGGGTACCTTGGTATGGACCAGAAACGATCCTCCAACCAGGTCAGCGGGTTAACCCCGTGCGGTGCCTGCGGGGCGAGACGCGCGATCTGTTCCAGTGCCAAGGCCTGCCAGGGAAGTTGCTGGGCGAAGAGCAGTCTCTTCACCCATTGGACGGCCAATGCAGCGATTTGGGTCTCCGGGTCCAGGACCCCCAGGCCCCCTTTATCCTTGGGTTGGATTACTGATTGCCAGGCTACCCTGCTAATCACATTCGAAAGTTCGCCGTTGCCTCTCCACAGGAGGGCCGTTAGTTGCCTCTTCAAGGACCTGACGGCATCCTTGCTGAGGGCCCAAATTGCAGATCTGTACCAAAGGGCCGCCAGCACAACACTGTTGATCGCAAGCGCCCTGCCAATAAGTGAGGTATGCCGGTCTTTCCATTGGGCCAGTTTCTCTAGGGCGGGTTTCAGGATGCACTCGTCATTTGATGCGGGCTTTCCTAAGGCTGTTAGCATGATCCCCAGCACTCTAACCGGGGCGGTTTCCGGAAGCCATTTGACTTGTGCCACCCCCAGTCCTAATCACCCTTCCACACGAGCCTGCCAATATCAGAGGAGGACGGGGAGCCTCTCAACGGGGGCTTGAGATGCAGCGGAGGGAACCGTAAACCCTAAACCCTAAGCCTAAAGTTTCCAAGGCTTACTATCTCTAGTAGAGCTATGCCATTCTTTTTTTTTCAAACCATCTCGGTAGCTGTCTACTGTCCAGGTGGACCCCCCGGGCCAGTGCAGGGCACCACCGTTGACAAGGCTCCGATCTATTCTTCATGGGGAGCAGCAGGTGCTGGGAACCGGGCCCAGCGTCCGGTGATACAAAGACAGAGAATGTCAATCAGCAGAAAAAGATGGTGGTGGTTCAGAAGAGTATTGATTACTCTGGAGGACCCAGAAGATTGGCCGACTGAATACCAACGATATTTATCCAAAGACCCGCCTCTTCAGCTAGCGAATAAGCTACCAGGTACCCTGGGAAACCCCACAGGATTGACTGTCTGAGCCCAATCTGATTATATCTGAAGACCCTCCTCTTCAGCGGCAAGAAAGCCCCCACATATCGCCTTCAAACCTAGCAAGTCTCCAGAGTCCAGACACTGTCAACCAAGTACTTATTTACCCAGCCCAAACCAGGACAGTTCCACCAAGCAGGTATCCGCAGGAGGGAAAAGATCAGCAAAGCCTGAGACTGGCCTCGATGAGGGCTGCTCAATACTCGACCGATCTGCAAAGCCAAGGTTAACCGCTTGAGACCTAGAGACATGGCCCTCAATCCTTTTGCTATCAGCATAGATTCTGGCTTGTTCAGCCATTCCGTAGACAAGTTCTTTATTCTACATTAGTACATTCCTTAAAATAATAAAAAAATAAAAATAAATAAATAAATAAAAACAGAGCCTTTTCCATTCAGGGGAGCGTCAGTCCGGCTCCCATTCCACCGGCAAGTCAGGAATCCATGTTACAAAACACACTCTGAAACGCTTCTCCCCATCATGGACGGGAGACCCGAGGGATGACATTGATAAGTTCCGAAATGGAAGGATATACCCCCCCGAAATGGAAGGATATACCACCCCAAAATGGAAGGATATACCACCCCAAAATGGAAGGATATACCCCCCCTCACCCCTGCCTAAGTTAGCCTATTGCTGCTAATCTCCCGAGTCCCAACTGATTGGTACCTACCAGGCCTATATGATTCTGGGGTCTCGCTCAAAACTCTTTTGTAAACTGGAAAGCAAGTTCTCTTTTTTTTCTCCGACGAGCAGGGCCAAGAAAGCCTTCATCCCGCTGTTGGAGTCCTTACAAACAGGAAATTCGCTCTATTTGCAGGATTCTACTATTTGATAGGCAAAATCTCTGGACTTCAATATGCAGAAACCTTAGGTCACATTCATTTTTGGATTACTTTCTTTGGTGTGAATTTGACTTTCTTTCCTATGCATTTCTTAGGTCTTGCAGGCATGCCACGCCGCATTCCGGATTATCCAGACGCTTATGCCGGATGGAATGCACTGAGTAGTTTTGGCTCTTATCTTTCTGTTGTAGGAATTTTTGTTTTTTTTGTGGTTGTTTATCTCACTTTAACCAGTGAAGTGCGCGCTCTGCAAGCGCCTTGGGCAGTTGAGCCAAATTCAACTACACTTGAATGGATGGTACAAAGTCCTGGAACTTTGGAAGCTCTTTATTTTTAGATTCCTAATGCTTAGGTTCACTCAAGTGCTTTATACTGTCTACAGATTGCCATTCCTGCAAGATGTTTGTTTGTATAAAATCTACGATATTCTGATACACTACCGGGGCCACTGGGATAACATGTTCCCACTCGTGGGTACATCTCAGCGTCTAGATGCCCCACAACATCACCCTTCTACCAGAATGGAACCAGTTCGTAGTGAAGCCTCCCCTGTACATGCCAGGCAGTGTGCCAGGAAGGGAAGATGGCCTCACCTCTCAGCCCCATGGCCGATTAGGTTCTCCCCTCAACCATCTCCAAATCATATCCCCCCAATCTCCACAACAAAACTACACTGGGCCTAATTGGCCATGGGCTGTGAGGCCAAGGAAACAGACAGATGTTCTGGTATCTCACTAGTTTCCTTTCGGGAAAGCCTAATGACATGGCCTCTCAACTCTCTCTCTCTCTCTCTCTCTCTCTCTCTCTCTCTCTCTCTCTCTCTCTCTCTCTCTCTCTCTCTCTCTCTCTCTCTCTCTCTCTCTNTCTCTCTCTCTCTCTCTCTCTCTCTCTCTCTCTCTCTCTCTCTCTCTCTCTCTCTCTCTCTCTCTCTCTCTCTCTCTCTCTCTCTCTGCCCTCTCACTTGTCTCTCTATCTCATCTCACTCTTACCTCACAGGTCACCCTGATCACCCTGATCACTCTCTGAATGTCCTTCAGCTCTCTCTCTCTCTCTCTCTCTCTCTCTCCAGTGCACAAGACCGCAGCAGCGCTTCCGCATTGATTGCGAAGCATATGGTGTTGACATCCAGGCCAAACTTGCTGATCCGCCTTCCAGACATCTTCTGTTGGTTATGGGTTGATCCCCTTGCCTTTGTTTGCTGCTTCTGGATGTTTACGGACTCTCCTTGAATCTGGCTGCTTGGGTGGATCAACTGACTCGTGGCCTAACAACTCTTGTGGTCTTTGCTGCTCCGGGACCCTTGCCCAGCCTTAGCTGAGAAGATGTGCAGGCAGCTGCTCCATCATTACTTAGTAGATTCTTGCGTCTTTCACTCTGTCTGGGGTACACACTTCAGGGGGCGCGGAAGTCGACCCAGAGTAGGGATTCAACAACAGAAGTTACTACACTGGTCCGTGTCCATACCATTGCATGTCCACGAGGGAGAGGGAGGGAGGGGGAAGGGGTCGGGGAAGTTGGACAAGGGACGCAGGGCGATGTGCAGGCAATATTGTTCCAGTCATTAAAGAGTAGCTTATAGTTCCTGTGATTTCCTTCCAATCTGCGTCCCTCCCACTCTTCCTATGGTTCGCCTTCCCAGGAAACATTGGCTGCCCGTCCCCCCTCCTCCCCTCCCAACAAGGTTTTGCAGAAGTTCAAGATCTGCCTAGAAATGTCCTTTGGTTGGAGGAGGAGGTCCAACTGAGATTTGGGGTCCTCCCATTTGGTTCTGAGTTCCATTCAGATGTGTTGTTCGATGTATTCAGTCATCTCTTTTCCTTCCACCAACACCTTCTCCATTACATGTGTGCAGCACCGCCACCATAGTGCCCAGAGGATCGCTCGCCCCCCTAGACAGTACATGTTCTCTGTAAAGGTCCCCGTTTGGGCCTGTGGTCAGTGCCCTGCGAGGATAGCGCACCAGTCCTATGGCCAACGGACGTCCTCCACTATCAGTGCCCGAATTCGCTCCCGCCACCGTCATATGAAGATCAAGCCTGGGCATTGCATGACGATGCGTTCGATGGTTTCTGGGATCGACGTCAAGGACATATACTACCGCAACGTTGGCACCAGTGGAGGGCTTTTCCTTCCTGTTCCAGACTGGTGCGATCGATTAACCAGTCAGTGGTGGGCAGGCAGCAATGTGCAATCTGCCACTGGAGGGAAGACATCTTCTGCTGGCCGGGTCTTCCGTCCTGGACCATCTGATCGGTTTGAGGAGGTCTTGGTGCACGTTGAGCGTTCTCTTCTAGTGGTCATTGACCGTGTCCCACAGGGTGCACCTGGGCCGCGCATTCCCTAGGTGTCCTTAACTGACAGTTGGTGCAGGTGTTTGCATTTTGGCGTTGTCCCGGGCCAGCCAGGCCGAGCCCACCGCCAGTCAGCTGGGTCAAGAGGCTGGTCAGATATTGGCGTCTGCGGGCTGTGCGCTTGAAGATCGGGCCATTTCCCCAGCACCCAGATTCAGAATACCTGAGTTTTTTTTCGGTCCGTACAAAGGGGTTCGGGTTATCTTGGAGCTGGAGGTGGTTAGTCAATGTGTATCGTTCAAAGAACACCTCCGCTGGTCTTGTTCCACGTATCTGCCCTGCCCAGTGTGGCTGCCGGCTAATTGAAATTCTTACATCCTCCGATGAAGGGTCATCTGGTGCTGCATTGGAATCTCCTGCCCAAACGAAAGGGATGCCTGCTGGGATCAGACTTTGAATGTGAATCGAGAAATGCTTTCTCCCCACGATGGCATTCGGGGCATACGAACAAGCACACAATGCTTATTAATAGTTATTATTGAGGTGTCCGGCAGTACCAGTATATAGATACCCACCTCCATCTGTCTGGTGGTCTGCTGACCAGGCCATCAGGATCTGAATCATAGGTAGGTAGGGCAATGAAAAAGGGACTTAATTTTAAGAACGAAAAAGGGGGTCCTAACATTATTGTATATTGATCTAACATCTTTAAGATTCTGGACTTGTGAGCTGCTTATTCACAATTACATGTGTGAGGCCCTTCAACCACCTTCTTGGGCTGGGCTGGGTTTGACGAGGGACCTCATTTCAGTCCATGAACAACTTTCTTGGACTCTTGAACTCCTTCCAGCATGACTTTGCCTTCTTCACAACCTGGGTTAGAGTGCCCCATGTCCTTACCAGAAAAAAAAAAAAAAAAAGAGTGCCACGTATCCCTCCCCAGGAAGCGCACGACAAAACAAACAGTACAAACTGTCGACCTTATTTCACCTCATCTGCATCAACAGACTATCATCACTGTCATCTTCCCGCCGGTGTGCCTCCCTGCAGACGATCGCACCTTCAACTTTTCCATTTCAACTTGTCGAGTTTTGTGGAACGTCTCCGATGTGTCCCATAAGGGCCATAACAAAATAATGTATCATTCACGCTAAGCCATACCGCCCAAAATGACACGGACCCGACTTTCCAAGCTGTTGTCTCTTGAGTTTACATAGCACAACGTCTGGAAGGTAGTTTGTCGAGAATAGGACTCATAGTACGCACCTGAACCACAATTATAGCTACATTCTGTTGACTGGATCCCAGTGTGAGTGCAGTATGACTTTCCTGAGTTTGACTCTCACCTGCCTGATCCACCAATGCACATAAGTAGACAACTTGTATCCACGAGTGAAGTCAAACTTCTCGACCCCTCTCATAAGTCCGATGGTTCCTTCCTGAAAGAGCACACAGAGAAGCGAAGACACCCAACAAGATATATGATATAGCTTCATATAACTTGATATAAGTTCATAAAAATGAACGAGAGGAGCCAGCGCGGCATCGCCCACGTGAGGAAGGGGTATTGATGGAATTTAGGTAAAAGTGTGCATGAAACCCCCAACAGTACGTGAATACGGGTACCGGAAGTGGGGGATATGTAGGTGGGTGGAAAACAAACAGCAATGGTCAACTGTCTGACAGTTAAACATAGATGAAATTGATGAATGGAGTACATTGACGGGAAAGAAAGGTGTTTCAGGCTTTAGGCGTTGGAAACGAACCCCCTCCTCCTAAGCCGCATTAGCCAAACACCGCCACGGCTCCAAACCATGAAGACAACTCGAAAACCCCCACGCACTTTCGAGACAGAGAATTAACCTGCACCTGAGCCCCAATAAAAAACATAGTGAAAATATCAGCACACGTTATACCGCCAGTACTTATGACCCTTGCCGGGTTTAGAAGCGCGCTGCACGTCCAAACAAAACGAACTGGCGTGTTTTCTTTTTTCGCTGGCGTTTAGCTCAGATAGGCTGTTCCCTGGAAGTTGCAGCGCATTACCGGCCCAGCAATTCAGAAGGATTTTGTTCCGTTAATCTGTTTGCCAGATGACCTGTTGCAGCTTTGGCTTGCAAGGAAACAGGAGGGAATACCACTGAACCTTTCTTCTGTCTTTTTTTTTTACGGCAAGCGTTTGCTTTGAGAAGAAACCATTAACTTCTCAGCATCATTTTTTGTTTCGCGCTCTACGAAATGACCCACATGGTCGCAGTCCCAGAACTCGACCATTTCAGAGAAAATGCTGTCCTGTCAATCCCGTTAATCTGTTTGCTCAAGGTTCTGATTCGGAGTCTGTTTGCTGTGTTTTCCGAATACATTTGTGATCGGCCAATCTTGTATCAATCCTACATGCTTACTTGCTGAGTGTTGGCTCTTTTTGTGTGTATGTGTGTGCAAGCGCATGTATGTGTGTGAGTGAGACTCAGTTCGCTGGGCCGAGATGGTGTGATTGAGAATTGGCAGGGGGTGGATCGAGATGGTGTGATTGAGAATTGGTTAGGGGCAGTAGTTGGAGGCCCCCTTCAATTATAAGAGTGCCACTGTTGTTAAGCAGCTCTTGTAATGTGCATTAATGAGGTAGTCAGCATCAAAGAAGAAACCAAGGGAGTGCATCTTGGAGCAGTAATGCTGTCGGAAGTAGTGTTCGTCCTGGGGAGTTGTCGGAAGTAGTGTTCGTCCTGGGGAGTTGTCGGAAGTAGTGTTGTCATATTAGCCGAAGTAGTGTTGTCATATTAGCCGTAATGCTGGGAGTACATCTTGGAGCATTTCCTGGAAGGCAAAAGCCAAAGAAGAAACCAAGGAGCACATGTCAGAATCACTTTGTGGACTCTCTCTCTCTCTCTCTCTCTCTCTCTCTCTCTCTCTCTCTCTCTCTCTCTCTCTCTCTCTCTCTCTCT